CATGAAGGATGCTGGCACCACACAGTCAAGGACACCATAGCTCAAAGCTAATCTCAAGGTGGATGCTGCATAATCTCTCTCATTTGACATACAGAACTGCAGGCACTTGCCATGAGTCTCAGCCTTACAGGGCTGCTGGGGAGGCTGCAAATATTACAGAATCATAGAATCACAGAATGGTCTGGGTTGGAAGGGACCTCAAAGATCATCCAGTTCCAACCCCCCTGCCATGGGCAGGGACACCCTCCACTACACCAGGTTGCCCAAAGCCTCATCCAACCTGGCCTTGAACACCTCCAGGGATGGGGCAGCCACAGCTTCTCTGGGCAACCTGTTCCAGTGCCTCACCACCCTCAATGTAAAGAATTTCTTTCTTATATCTAACCTAAATCTGCCCTCTTTCAGTTTAAAGCCATTGCCCCTTGTCCTATCACTACACGCCCTTGTAAAAAGTCCCTCTCCAGCTTTCCTGTAGGCCCCCTTTAGGTACTGGAAAGCTGCAATAAGATCCCCCCGGAGCCTTCTCTTCTCCAGGCTGAACGGCCCCAACTCTCTCAGCCTGGCTCCATAGCAGAGGTGCTCTCTGAGAGATGGGGAACTTCTATGGTGCCCAGTTTCTGGGCTGCTGCAGGGTCAAACAGGTCGCTCAGGTAGGTAAGGGGAGCTTCAGAGACTGCCCAGCCTGAAAGTACGATGTATCAGGAATAATTTTTAAGGCAATTCCTCATGTTGTTTACAGGTTTGGACCTTCTCATTTTTAAAGCAGTTGAAGATTTAACCTCCTCTTGGTGCTCCCTAGCAGCACTGCAGCTATTGAGCTGCTCCCGCGTTGTCTGTCTGTCCCATCGGAGAACGCTTCCTGTTAAAAAGAATTTTTGGCACGGCTTCTTCATCCTGCACAGGGAGCAGAAAGTCGATGCACAGATTAGCAATCGATTTTCTAAGAAGTACCCCACAAATCTCCTCTCTCTGCCTTCACGTTTCTGCCGGAGCCTCAATAATTAATTTAAACAGATACAAGCACTTCTCCTCCTCTCCGTTTTGATGCGAACGGTTCCAACAGACCGTGCAGCGAAGCTGCAGCAATTTCCTCCCTGTGCAGAAGGGAGCAGCTGCAGGAATAGCTCTTTGAAGAGGAAATGGCACCCAATGGGACTGGCAGGCAGCTCTGGGCTGAGCTCAAACAGCCCCCAAAGTCCTTGGGAGCATCTGAGGACATCAGAAGAGGAAAGATCCAGGCTGGGGGAAGCCTTAAGAATTAATTTAAAAGACTTCCTCCCCATCCCTGGAGCTTTCTTCTGTGTAAGCAGCAGAGTCTGAGAGGAAGAGTCTTCCTCATGTTTGGCTCAGATGATCCTACTCATGTCGAAGTGAGGGAAATAAGGGTTGAACACGAGGGGTGGGTGCATTCCCGGTTTATTTATTAAACTATGAATGTACAAATATGTTTAAAACACAAACATATCTATAAAAAATCTGTGTTCCTGTATATTATTAAAAAGCTACCATATTTCTATTAATATAAACGAGCACACTGCCATATTTCAAAGTGACCATAAACCACTCCCAGTGTTTCACACATGTTTAACTGGTTAACTGATGGACTCAGTGACGTGATTTATCTCGGTGAAACTGTATTTTTTTATGATGATCAGCAAATATACTGCTCTGTTATTTACAACATAGCACACACTTTCCTACTATTTAAGAGACTGATAGCAAACTCAACAGACGCAAGAAAGGAATCCTAGGTTTTGTGCACAGGTAGATACACACTCTCTCTGCCCCCAAAGTGTGTAACATCATCGACTTGGGGCTGAACTTCACAACTGATGGAAATGTCTAATGCTGATTTAACAGGCTTCAGACTGAAGAGGAACGTAGCCCGTGAAGCCCTACGTCCTGTGCCGCTGCTGCAGGACTACCCTAGCTGAGGGGTAGTTCAAGCAGCAGTCGATTTTTAGTGGCAGGCCCACAACAGTATTGGACCAAATGTGTGTTCTTTTCTGAAAGCTACGTGCTTCCTTAATTACTTCTGTATAAATAGATGCCATTTTACTACACTCTGCTACCGCCCGTAAACCAGCGTGCTGCCTAGAAAAAGAACTGACACAACACATCCTGCAAATGCCTCTTCTTTGTCAGATTGCACTAATTACATACCCACAGCATCAAACTTCTCCATCTTTGTCCTCCTAACTGGCAAAGTGTGCCTTTCCCCATCAATTTCCCTCTGCTCTTCTCTCTTCACTTTTGAATCTTGCTTTTGGAAGGATTTAAGTTCATGGACATACGAGCCCGAGCTAAGTAGTGCACAGACCTACTGTGCGTGCCTATTTATGCCCACGCTCCTGCACCTCCACTGGCAGGGATGTGGAGAGCCTTTTTTTCTGAGACCATGCTGAGTCTGGCAGGACAACCCTGCATCCTGGCAGGAACTGCCCTCAAACCATCTTGCTCTATAAACAGTTTTGCTTTGCTGTTAACATGATGCCCCATTGTTCTGATATCGCCCAACAAATTATGATAAAGCATTATATTGCGACTGTTTTATTATACATTGTAATGAACTCACTAATGAACTTCATTAAAAACACTTCACTTATCCTAAGCGTACAGGCTGCTTAACTGAGTTACTAGATGGTGTGGAAAAATAATATAGGGAACTAAGATGAGATCAGTGGAATAATTCTCATTTGCACTTTTATCTGAAGCGCGAGGTTTACCGATACTCCTTGACACCTCTTATCTTGTATCTTCGATGTCTGACAGGGTTAGATGCTGAGAGACAAAAACTCCACAGCCAGTTGTTCATACTTCTGACAGCAAAATTAAAATGCAGAGCAGGAAATAAACTGAAATGATCTCATACTTGAATGGAATATAAACATTCTGCTTAATTAGGTCACTAAGCATATGTTTGTTAGCTTGGATATTTTCTCTCTGGCAGTTATCTCTGGGTAACCCAACTACCTCACTGGAGAGAGTGGAATTCCCATGGCAGACAACATGAAGTCGGGAATTTTGGGGCGAGAAAAGTACGTTTATTAGCACTATTTCCAGCACCTCCTAATGAAGAGAGCTAGAGAGCAATACATGGCTCACTGGCTTTTATGTCAGGCTGGTGTCCACACGGAGGACAGCAGGGCCATCAGGGAGCTCGTTAGTCCTGTCTGAACATCCGCCTGTCCCTGGTTTACCTTCTTCATTTAATGCAAAGGAGTGTGTAGGAGCTGGCGATGCCACTTCCACACATATAGAAAATCTTCCCATGTTGCAATCCGAGAGGCACAAGCAATATTGCCGCCTACGTTCATCTCAATCGCTATATAATTTTTTTTTGAAGGGCTGGAGGGAAGAAGCTTGAAAGACTTGCACTGTTCCCCAAGAGCTGACCAGGGAATTAGAAAATAATTACAGCTTTTAAAGATTTCAGTGCGGTTGATCTGAAGAGAAATGGCACCAGCAGCTTGGAGTGTCAGTGTGAGTTCAGAGTGACCTTCTCCCTAAAGCTGGCTGGAAGCAAATTGAGTTCCCCATTTTATTTCAGCTGAACAAACTCCTATCAGTCCACTGCACCCTGAAGGCATGGAAGCCACCTCGGAGCGTCCCACTGTTGGCACACGAGGCCTAGAAATCCCTGTATCAGTCGTGCACGCGCTATCTAAAGCAGAGCCTTTGTTTTAAGAGGTGGAGAAGGCCAGTTACTAAGAAGAGCTGAAGAAGCACATTTTACTGCTGCAATTCACAGCTATTTGCTAATGCTGAGGCTGCGGAAGGAATGCTGAATCCTGGGATTCACAGGAATATTCACAGGCTCAGAAACCCTAATCCTGACCCCTTCAGCCTTTCACCTTGTCTTTATTATAGAATCATAGAATCATGGAATGGTTTGGGTTGGAAGGGACCTCAAAGATCATCCAGTTCCAACCCCCCTGCCACGGGCAGGGACACCCTCCACTACACCAGGTTGCCCAAAGCCTCATCCAACCTGGTCTTGAACACTTCCAGGGATGGGGCATCCACAACTTCACTGGGCAACCTGTTCCAGTGCCTCACCACCCTCAGAGGGAAAAATTTCTTCCTTATATCCAATCTAAATCTCCCCTCTTTCAGTTTAAAGCCATTGCCCCTTGTCCTGTCACTACATGCCCTTGGAAAAAGCCCCTCTCCAGCTTTCCTGTAGCCCCTTTAAGTACTGGAAGGCTGCAATAAGATCACCCCGGACCTATTCTCTATTCTGTTCACAAGCTTCAGTCCTCGCCTCCTTTTTGGCTCTCTGTCACAGACTCCCTTTTCTGCTGCCCTTTTCTTCCTTGTCGTGTTCTCAAATCCCCTGGCCAGCCTTCATCTCCCCAAACATCTCACACGGGACTCTAGATCCATCACTTAACAATCTCTCTGTGCTACATCCTCGTCCACCTGCTTCCACGCGGTTGTTTCTTCCCTGTCGTGCACACTCACTGGGCACCACCAAGGAAAAGTTAAGGACACAGAAGAGCTAGGTTTGCAACAACTCGAAAGCCAACGGTTGCCCCATGTCCACCTCTAAAAAGTCTTAGATTTTGGGTCCTATGCTTAAGCCTGGCTTTTCCAAGGAATATGGGACCAACACTCTGGCATGTCTCAGTGCCACAAAGGCAAGAAATGATTTGAGTCCTGCCTGGGAAGGGGTGTCTTTTGCACAAGGTTCACAAGGAAATGAGTTGAGTCAATAGCTTGAATGTTGCTATTTCATTCGTCATAGGCAACAAACCTGACTGCCCCTGCACACACCCTGTCGGTGGAATCTGTATGTTGCAACAAACCTGCAAATAATTTTTTCAGAAAAGCATGTTATTTTTGAATTCTGTAGATGGATTTGATCTCTGCTACTCTGAGATGCTACCAGGAAAACTGACTATGGAGATAAAAAGGCAGAGAAAACAGGTCGTTAACTCAAGAATACCATTGGTCACCTCGCAAAGAAGAGAAGATGACAAATCCATGTTGCCTAATACCAGACCTCGAGTTAAATCCCTGAAAGGCATGCCTGTACAGATGCATTCACTACTTGTAGTTCCTGTATGACCCCAGAAATCCTCAGCAATCTGGAAAGCAACATCATCAGAAGTCATCGTTGCCCTTGACACGCCAGGCAGAAACATGTTCAGTCTGTCTGAGGACTGGGCACTCAGTCCTCACCCTGAGGCTGGGGTAGCATCACCTCTGTGGGATCAATGGAACAAGCTGCCCACTTCTAACAAGCCTGTTCAGAGTCTGGGGCAACTGAGAACTTCAGAAGTTTATAGGTCAGACAAATCTTGGTAGACTGAAAATAAAAGTGCAGCAAAAACCATATCCCTACACAGCACTGTCTCGTTGCCAAAATTCAGTCCCTTGATCTAAGGATGAAGGTGTTGGAATACCTCCGGTGTCAAAAGATATGGTTTCTCATCATTCGTTTTTTATGCAAGGCTGATCTGTGGTTTCAGAAGTTCCTTCAGGAAAAATTGAAGTAGGAATGTAACTCCTCACGTGGAAAATTTCAGACTACGCTTTTTTTCTATTGGCGAAGTAAGAAGTAATGGAAACTGTTAGGCAAACTCAACTATAAGCATTTTTACGTATAAATTCTACTTTTACAAAAAGATGCATCAAACTGCATTTCTCTTGCATTGATTTTCCCCACATGCCATCTTCTTCTACATCCATCTACGCATTATTTTTCTCGTTCGTTTTAAGAGCACGTGTATCCCGTCTCCTTGTCTTCAGAGGTCCAAGAACACTCCTGGTAGTGCATGAAAACTCCCAACGACTTCTGTTTCTGTTTGCACTGCAGGTCCAGGCTG